GCTACTTACTCAAAGCCGCTGACTGCCAGAGTTCTGCCTGAGCACATCAACTGCTCTTGGTCCCCCAACTGATGCAGTCTCTGCTGCTGCTCCCACAGTTGACCTCCCTCTAGCAGGTAAGTAGAGAAAAAAACAAATTTTAAAAACTTAGAAAGAAACAAGCGAGAATAGGAAGAAAAGCTGTTGGAGTCGATGAGCTCTATCCTGCCACCATCTTGGATCAGATTTTTGTCATGTATGCCGTGGTCAACCAAGCATTGATAGCTGCCCACAGACTTGTCAAACTTTTGAGCCATAATGTGGAGGTACTGGTGTTGTACTGGGTGGACAAGGTGAAAAATCACATGATACCAGTTTATAATCTAACAGGTTTATTTGAAGACGCAAGCTTTTGGAGTCTCGCTTCTCCTTCAAGTGTTAGTGAGAGGTGGCATCAAACACAGAGTTTATAAGCAAACGATCAAAGGGTCGTAGAACTGATGCAGATGTATTGAACAAACCTAAGATGGCTGTTAAATGTTTAATCAGCCAGAAAGGATTAATATGCAAATCCCAGAATTTCTTTTGTCATTATACTGATGAAACCTTTTGTTATCTCGGGGCAGTGACTTGAAAGAAGTTCTGGGATTTGCATATTAATCCTTTCTAGCTGATTAAGCATTTAACAGCCATTTTAGGTTGGTTCAATACATTTGCATCAATTCTATGACCCTTCGATCTTTTTGCTTATAAATTGTGTCTGATGTCACCTCTCTCTCTGACACCTGAAGAAGGAGCAAGACTTCGAAAGCTTGTGTCTCCAAATAAACCACCTGGACTATAACCTGGTATTGTGTTTTTAAACTTTGAGCAGCAGTTTGTGATCATTGAAGATCATTTTTCAGCATGGTGCTCTCTAAAGTGGGATTTGCAACCTGTGTACATGCAGCAAGACAGTTGTGTTTTGATTCTGATGAATCCTTTGACCTGAGACACTGGCTCAATTTTTTTTTAATTCATGAGATTTGGCTACCACTTATTGCTCATCCCTAGTTGTCCTGAAGGTAGTGGTGGTAAGCTGCCTTCTGCAGCCGTTGCAGTCCATTTATTGAAGGGTCTCTCAAAATGTTGTAAGGGAGGGAGTTCGAGGATTTTGACCCAGTATTACTGATAGGACTGCAGTCCAAGAATAACAAACAATACAGGAACAGGCCCTTTGGCCCTCCAAGCCTGCTCTGCCACATCTCGCACATTAAAACTATCTTCACTTACAGGATCCGTATCCCTCTATTCCCTTCCTATTCATGGACACATCCAGGTGTTCTTGAATGCTGTTGTTGTGTCTGCTTCCACCACCACCTCTGGCAAAGCGTTCCAGGCACTCGCCACTCTTTTTTTTTTTTGTGTGGAAAAAGATGCCTCGCACATCTCTCTTAAATGCCGCCGCCCCCCCCCGCCCCCCCCCCCCAACCAAACCTTGAACCTGTGTCCCCTTGTAATTCACCCTTGCACCCTGAAAAAATGCATCCTACTTTCCATTCTATCCACGCCATTCACAATCTTTTAAAATTCTGTTAGGTTGCCCCTCAACCTCCTGTGTTCCAGTGAAAACAAACCCAGTCTATCCAACCTTTCTTTATAGCTAAAATTCCCCCATACCAGGCAATATCCTAGTAACCCTTTTTCTGTACCCTCTCCAAAGCACCCATGTTCTTCTGGTAGTGTGGTGACCATAAACTAACGCAACATTCCAAGTGTGGCCTAACTAAAGTTCTATAAAGGTGCAGGATAGCTTTTCTACCTATCTACTCAGTGCACCGTCCAATGAAGGTGATCATGCCATAAGTAGTTTTTTTTTTTTTTTACTACCTTATCTACCTGCACTGCCACCTTCAGTGATCTGAGGACCTGCACACCCAGATCCCTCTGTATCAATACTCCTAAGGATTCTGCCATTCACTTTTTTCCAAGGGTGTATTTATGGGATGTTACTGTATTGGAACAGTTGCTGTTTAGTAGTTAAATAATGTATTATTCCGTCAGGTTTTTCAATAGTTATATTCCAATTCTTAGTTCTTTGTTATTTTAGCTATAAGAGTAAGAATAAAATGTGTTTTACTTCAAGCCTGGTAGTCTGATAAATCAAATTGCATCTGGAACACAACACCTTAAACTTGCCTTTAAAAATAAGAAAACGACTTAGGCTATCTTCTTAATATATTTTGAGGGGGGGATTTGGTCTGTCCATAACAGATGTAGAATAGGTAAGTGCTTTCTAAATTCTAACTAGTCATTGCATTATTAAGTTGTCTTCTCTCTAGCTACTGTTCAAAAGAATTTGTCCCTTAACTACACATGGTTGTTTTCTACTGAGATGAGCAGCGTCCATCAGTTCATCCTCAGTTCCTGTTTTGTGTAGATGTCAATATATTAAATTTTGTTCTAGATCATGTTTTCAATAGGTTTTGCCCTTTTTTTGAGGAGTTTGGATGTACCTGTAAATTGTGTTTTAACGTAAAATTTAATCAATATATTGAATCTTGTCTAGTGCCATTTATGTGTGTTAGAGATTTCAGCAGCTACTGACCTCCCTCTTGCTTACAAGGAAAATTTTCTTGAACATTGTTGTTAATTAACAAAATGTTCACTTCAACTTGGAATACATATTTAACTTCTTACAGTGTAAATCAAAAATACTTACAATACTGATTTTAGAGGAATGTTGGAGAAATGCAACCCCTACATAGTGTCTAAGTCCTAAAACACAGAAGGGTCTAGACCCAAAACGTCAGCTTTCCTGCTCCTCGAATGCTGCTTGGCCTGCTGTATTCATCTAGCGCTACACCTTCTTATCTCAGATTCTCCAGCATTGGCAGTTCCTACTGTCTCTGCATTCAGACTGTCTGTCTGTTTGACAAGTTATTTATGTGAGTGTTCAATGATGCTTAAAACTTGAAGACCGAGTAGAGACATATTAGTGGTACATAGTTAAATTTTGTTTGATATTGCTTCTAGTATTTAGATAAGCACCACCATCAGTGTGAATGTAAAATTTACAAAGTTCTTATTTTGCTAGTTATGTAGTGGAAAACAGTGTTTATTTCTTTTAATCAGGAGCCATTTATTAATTCTTGTGAGTCCAAATCCTTCTCTCATTGCTAAACCTTCTGCTGTACCATGGAGTGGAAAGATCTATGTGCAATGTGACAACATACAGCAGGTAGGAAATATAATTTAATTTACAGTTAATTGACTTTTATTTTGGATTAATCTTCCAGGAAATATTTTATCCTGAAGATTCACTTGTGCTCGGGTTATGGTTACTTCCCAAATAGATTAACAAGTAGAGAAACAGCCTCAATGAGTACTACTCAAATATTATGGCAAAATTTTCCATTAGTTAACTGCATACAATAGATTTTTAAACTTTTTCTTTTTACTCTTTTTTTGTCTCAGAAAATAAAATTGGAATTTAAGATTTTTTTCAGTAAAACTTATTGGTGATACCAGGTAAACTGTAAAATTTCCTTGCTAGTTTGTGCAACCAGGAGCATTTTGCTTCAAAAATAAAGTAGTTAAATATTGGTGTGCTTGCAATCTTAATTCTGAACTGTACGTTCTGCCATCTCCAGTCTAAAACATTGTTTGAGGCTGAAATAGAATGGCAGCAATCTCTCCATTCTGTTGATCCACGAAGTTAAGTTTCTGGCCCCATATGTTCCATCACATCACTTTTTTTTTTCTCTTGCCCTATTTTAACCCATCTGCAACTGAAACATTTATCCGCAGTTTTCTTAACTTTGTACTCTGAGTTCATCCCCCACCATTGTTAACCTAAATAAGACAAAGAAAAAGTGTTGATTTTACTGTAGAAAACTCAACTCACTCACGCTTCAGAAGACTGATCTTTTCTTGGACTGCCTCCATTCATAAAAACACAAGCTACCCTTACAGTATCATGTACTAGGTTCCTCTTATGTTATCAACCTTGTTTTTACATCAACTCCTAGTACAAGTTAATTAGAAAAGACCGACAAGAACAAGTCAGAAAACAAAGCAACTCTGAAGAATTAAACTATTTATTTCAATGCTGTGTCCACTTTTTGTTTGCCACTTAGATAAATGATTTAGATGAGAATATAGAAAGCGTGGTTAGAAAGTTTGCGGATGACACCAAGATTGGTGGTATTGTGGTCAGTGAAGAAGGTTATCCAAGATTACAAAGATCTTGATCAGTTGCGTCAATGGGTTGAAGAGTGGCAAACGGAGTTTAATTTGTTTAACTGTGCGGTATTACATTTTGGTAAAACAAAGACAAGACTTATACGCTTACAAGTAGGGCCTTGGGCAGTGTTGTAGAACAGACAGACATAGGCATCCAGCTACGTAATTCTTGGTAGTTAAGAAGGCATTTAATATGCATGCCTTTATTGCTCAGACCTTTGAATATATGAGTTGGGCATTATGTTGAGGTTGTAGAGGCAATTGGTGAGACCTCTTATGGAGTACTATGTCCAGTTCGGGTCGTCCAGTTATAGGAAGGATATTATTAAATTGGAGAGGGTTTAGAAGGCATTTACTAGGATGTTGCCAGGAATGGAGGGTTTGAGTCATGAGGGGAGGTTAGATAGGCTGTGACATTTTCACTGGAGCATAGGAGGTTGAGAGGTGACCTTTTTATAGAGTTTTATAAATTCATGAGTGGCATAGATAAGGTGCATGGCAGGTGTCTTTCCCTAGGGTGGCAGATTTCAAGACTAGGGAGCATATTTTTAAGGTGAGAGGAGAAAGATTTAAAGACATGAGGGATAATTTTTTACGCAGAGTGTGGTTAATGTGTTGAATGAAGTTGCAGAGGAAATGTAGCTGCGGCTATAGTTACAACGTTTAGAAGACATTTGGATGAGTACATGAATAAGAAATGTCAGGAGGGATATGGGCCAAGTGGAGTTAGGTGGGACTAGTTTAATTTCGGATTATGGATGGTTGGACTGAGGGGTCTGTTTCTGTGCTGTATGACTCTGACTCCACAACAGTTCAGAATTCTCATCCTTGGTTGTTAGTGTAATATTTTGTCCGTTAAAGATTGTACAACTGAATATTAGCTGGACAATCGCATCTAAATGTTAAACAGTGCTGCAAGCTTTGAAAATGTATGCTGGTTGGGGACAGTCAGTACTTTACTCGTTGAACACTGCCACAATACTATAAAGCAGTATCAACATAAGTGGTATTTGCCACTTACAGCATGCTGTCATCAAGCCAAAAAGAATAGTGTGCCTAGCATCACACTGATATTGAAATTTATATGTGGGGCACGTATCCCACGATAGCAGATTATATCAAACGTGAGCTGTTCACAACAAGCAAGGTACTGACTATAAACAACTGGCCCACACTTGGGAAAACTTGTAACAGTGTCATCAAATGCAGAAGCACATTTAGACAGCATTGCTTAGATAATTCAGTGTGTGCAAAAAAAGTTACATTGACCGCCAACTGAGATTGCCACTTGGGCTCGTAGCGTGGTACACTTGCACCTTCTGGAAGCTATGTGTATTAATGCACAGGATCCTGGTCTTTTCAGACAGAACATGTACTCGCACTTCATCCGTTTCAAGTCAACAAATGGATGATGACCATTTGGTCAGGGAATTGCGCTAAGCAATAAAACAAACTGCTTGGTTTAAATTTCAGACAAAGCCTAGTTGTTTAACTGTCCATTGGCCTTAATTGATGCATTCTCAATGGCATACCTCCAAACAATCAGTTCACTAGACAACTTGTCAACACTGGCATTAGAAATTCTTTTCCCCCCTTCACTTTGCTGCCTTAGTGAAGTGTGCTGATGTGTGCAAGATGAAAAGCTTCAACAAAAATCGAACTATTTTTCAGCAAAACTCAAATTATAAAGGAGTTGAGATTTGATAGCCCCAAACAACCAACACCAGCACACAGGTATGAATCCTCCTATAATGATATCCAGTTCAAAATGAGCAAAATCATTTCAGGAGGGTTAGCACATTCCATATTATCAATACTAAATTGCATTAATCCTCTTCAAATGAATTAATAGAAACCAAGATTTTTTTTTAACCTTTGCAGTTGCTACTGTACAGTAGCTATTGCATTGCATTGCATTGCATTGCATTGTGATAATATGTTTTCTCTTTCTTTAGTTAATTAAAGTACAAATCCGTGAAGATGTTATAATGGACACTTCGGCATCTGTGTTAAGCCCGTCTGCTGTGCTAGATATGGAACCTTGGACCCCTAACCTTAATTTGGCAAAACCTCTGTTAATATCTCCTCCTACTAAACTAAAGATTAAGAACAGAACTGTGCACTTTCCCTCAACATCAGCTGGGTCTACTTCAGGTAAAAATCAAGAACTAACCAACTGTTGTTGATTCATGTGCTGTTCGAAGGTAAACTACAAACTGACACCAGTAGATCTTTTCTTTAGAATCATTGCATTGGTTGTCAATCATGTGGCACAGAAGGTGGGATGCTCTTCGGAGAGTTGGTGCACTCTTGATAGACGGAATGGTCTCTGTGCGCTGTAGGGATTCAGTGATTCTAGGTCATTTTTGACTTCATTCCATAAATTTATATCTTAATGATCTGTAGAATTTCCTCCTCTTTGACACTTCTATAACCACCTTGTTCTATATTGGACATCTCACTGGCTTCTAAGCAGTCAAGACATCTTCTGAGCCCTGACGGCTTAGAAACTGCTACTGACAGCATGGCTGCTGTTACGGACATCCTGCCCTGCATTAGTCTGCTCCTGTGTATAATTTGCCAGTTGTGACAGTGAATTGCTGCTTCATGTGCAGTGTATAGCCTTGTTCGAAGAAAACATGAGTGGAATGTTTGTTTCATCTCCAATGAATGTGGGATGAGGGCATTTCATTAAATACTATTCACCTTTCCTGCTGAATCGGACAGCATCCTATAGGAGGGAACCCAGGAAAAAGAGCTTGTACACTGCTGTACACAACCTCAGCATGTGGGAGCTCTTTTAGAATAAACTAAATACTTCTGAAGTATAGTTACTATTGTAATGTGGGAAATGCAACAACCGTTTGTGTAGAATAAGGTCCCACAACGTGCAAAGGGAGACGTATCCTGCTCACCCGTTTTTGGCATTGGTTGAAAGAAAAATGTCAGCCAGGTAACTGAGTGAGCTCCACTATTGTTTTGATTCATGGCATTGGACGCTTTACGTCCTAATGAGAGGAGATGTCATGGCTCTATTTAGCATCTCATAATAACAATCCCTTCAAGAGTGTCACACCTCTCCAGCAATGAACTGTAATGGCAGCCTTAATCGTATGTTCAAGTCCAAAATAGGGTTTGCACCCAAAACCAGTGCTTCTCCATACAGCGTGAGCAGAGTCGATCCTGAAGAGGGCTGTTCAGTTGTGAAGAAAGCTACCGAAACACGGTCCTTTTCCTATACCCAGAATGAAACAACTGAGTCAAACTGTGCTGCATACATGTCAGTCTGAAGCTAGGCACTCTCGGATCTCTCAATCCCGTCCCATCACTTCTTACTGATTGCTGCAGGGTGTGGGTGTGCGTGTGTGGTGTTGAATTGTGTGGAACATCTTTTAACGTGAGAATGCTGCTGCACATTAGCAGGCACAGTTCTTAGAAGAAGTTAGAGCCAGAGCCAGATCCAGTTCCAGTGGCAGGAAACCTCAAGGATTGGGAAGCTGTGTACCATTGCAGCCATCATCTGTCATTGCAGCATTGATGTCACATGAGTATCTTTTGCCTGGATTGTTCTCTGGTCTAATTTTGAATTGTGCTTTCTGTTTCCTCCCCTCTGACGTTAATATGGGTAGCCCTGCCAGGAGTTGAGAACCCCTAATGGTGCTCAGGATCAACGGAATATTCAAGCCTTTCCACCACAGGAGAGTGGTAATATGTGGACAGGAATCCACGTTATAGGAGAACTGTGATCGCAGAGGAAATTTACCAGGATGTTCCCTGGTCTGGAGAGTTTTAGTTGTGAAGAGAGATTAGGCAGACTGGGCTTGAATTCCTTAGAGCAGAGGAGCTTGACAGGGGACATGATTGGGGTGTATAAATTGAGGGGCACAGACAGTAGACAGGAAGACACTTTACCTCCTTTGGATGGATCATCAACCAGGGGCCAAAGGTTTAAGGTAAAGGAGAGGCTTGACCCAGAGGGTGGTAGGAATCTGGATCTCACTGCTTTGTAAGGATGATAGAGGCAGCAACACTCATAACATTTAATAAGTATTTAGATGTGCACTTGTGATGCCAAGGCATTTCAAGGCTGTGGGCCAAGTGCTGGAAAATAGGATTAGAGTAGCTTGGTGGTGGTTTCTGACTGACACCGGCTTGATGGACTGAAGGCCCTTTTTCCATGCTGTAGACCGGTGACTCTAAATCATGTGACCTTAGATGAACAGCAAGACCCCTGAGAAGTTGAATTGCCCCAGCCATTGCTAACTTAAATTCTGAGCACCGCTGTCTCGTACGCTCTCTCAAAAACAAGTTTGTTTAGATGGAAGCGGGTTGATCCAGAGAAAAGGTCTTTAACAGCAGAGGTACTCTTTACAAGCTGTCCGCGCAGGCTTGGAGAAAACATCTCAAGTTGTTTTGAAGAAAGTCTAGTATTTCTGACTCTGGAGTTGTCCAAGGAAGACATCCTTCCAAGCTGTGGTAGGTGTGCAGTTGTAGAACCCACGTTGAGTATGAATTGAGCTGATTTGACTTATTTAATGGTTTCAGGAAGAGACATTAACTGTATGAAACAGCATTTGCCGTGCGAGCTGAACAAGCATCTTTAGCATGAAGGCAGAGCTGACCCTTCACTGAAGTTTGGGACCGCTTGTTGGGGCAAAAAAGTTGAATCTGTTCTGATGTGTGATGATGCCATATCAAATAGTTCTTATGTAATTTTTTTCTCTTGTATAATAATGTTATGCTGTTTTGTCACGAGTATATTGGTAGCCTCTTGTGAATACCTTCAGTGACTGACCACCTCCATAAACAAAAAGAAAAATAAAACTTACTTAGATTCCGGAGTGAGATCTGGCTTCTGACTTGTTTCATATTATCATCTGTTAGATTATAACAAGTGCTAAACTTGGTTTTGAAATAATATCGTTCTTTTATTAATCTCAACACAGAGTCATTATTGGAAATTGAAAATGGTGGGGAAGAAACTGTGCAGTGGTTTTTATCTTCATTTGCACCACCATATGTAAAGGTGAGTGGCACATTCACAGCTTCTGACACACAAACTTTAAGATTTTTGTTCCACTGATCTTAAATAGTTTACTTATAATTGTCTTCATTATTGTTACTAAAACTTGAGAGATTTAAAGAAAAATGTTTATTCACCCTGAATGCCAATCAGTGTGAATCACATGCTCAGTTGTCCACCAGTATAAAATTAGCTTTTAAGGTGCAATGAGACAACCACATACTAATTACTGTTGATCAGTGTCATCAGTTGTAAATTTCTTTAAGAGTTTTTCCAGCAAGGCTAATAGATGTAAATGGCAGTCTTTCATCAGTTCACTGATTCCTATTGATTGTGGTGCAGAACAACTTGACAACACCCAATGTATGGGGAAGTGTGGCAGTTGCTGGCTATGTGAATTTAACTGGACCTCTGCTGACTCCAAAATTTGCCATTAGGTTCATTGTCATTACCACTGTCTAGTTTGGGCCATCACTTTCCATTTACTTTATAATCCATGTTCTACTGTTTTTCCAATGTATATGCTGCTTACTACCCTCAGCTGAGATCATTTGACTGGACGGATGAAAAACTTGGAACCTTGCTTTTCTGGCTTGGTATTGCATAATCTAATGTACTGACCCACCAAACCATTGCAGGTAATTGCTAGATGTAGGGCTGAATTTAACAGCCCTAGCAGGAGTTCCATTCACTGTTCAAAATAAAAAAATCAAACCTGGCCACTTCCAGGAACTCCAATGAGATGAAATCTCAGTCAGGTACTTAGTAACTATTGTTGTAGTCCCCATTGCTTTGAAAAACCGAGCTCTGTCTCAAAGCGCTGTTGATCAAACGAATGCCTGGAAAGTAACCACTTATGACATGTACTGCCCCTCTGGACCTCCTTAACATGTAGCCTGTCAAGCAAGTTCTGGTTCAGAAGAGGTTGTTGGTTTGTCAGACAAGTTTGTTTCTGCCTGTGTTGCCAGCAGAGCTGTCGGTGGGGCACAGTGCCTTCCTTGCAGTACTCGATCAGCCTGCAGGTAGGCCCACCATGAGGGAAGATACCATTTGAGGATCTCCATTCTTGGTGAGAAATTGTCCTTATCCTTTTCCTTGATTTATTGCAGGAAAGTGATTTGGGTTTGGAGGTGAGGAGTCAGGTCACTGGTTCTACTTGCACCTTCCTGACAAATTAAACAGCACCCCAGACTCTACCCCCTTGCTTCCCACCCAGTTCCTGGAATGAAATTAAATTTATGGCATAGTGTACACTACTGTGGAATGACACTCGCAAGTACAACTTTACATGTAATCATAGGTACTGTTGCGAAGTTGGGCAGATTACTTGTGGATTGGAAGGCAGGACATTAGAATTTGGTGTTTGTGAGCTGCTGTGGGCTAAGCAGTTTGTGGGTCCCTTTGTAAGATGATGTGCTTTTTCTAAGCCTGTAGATTCATAAAGGATATCTGTGGTCTTGCAAGGTGCACAGAGCACCTGAATTGAAACATTTGTATCAAAAGGCTATACCTAGGGATGGGCAAGAAATGCTGGCCAGCCAGTGATGCCCATATCCCACAAAATGAATAGAAAAAAAAACTGTTAGCAGGCAAAGCAGGATTTTTATCAAGAAACAGGTTTTTGAATTTAGCCAATTAATTTAAACCAGGCCCTTAAATACCAAAAACCAATTAAATTTAATTATGACAGTTTTGACAACATAGGACCAATCCTATTCTAAGAAATTGATATGTCATCAAGGGTATAAACGATGAGGACATTCGAAAAATCGGGGGAGAGCCAACTGTCATCTGCCAAGAGAACATCTCTCGGCTCTCATGGAAAGAATTACTGGCTGTCACAGAATTCTCTAAGCCTTAGAGTAAACTCCATCTAAAGTAAAGGTACCTACGGCACAAATAGTTAATGTTCCTGACAAAAGAATTCAGAGAAGGCATTCCTGACAGAAGGATTCACCGAGAAGGCATTCCTGACAGAAGAATTTGTCAGAGAAGACACAGAGCATTCCGGAAGACAACCTGGCTATAATTTTGAGACACTCAATTCTTCTAATTTTTTTTATTTTCGTTTATACAAGTGGGGCTTGTATTTATTGCAATAGCATACGATTAGAATTTTGTTTTATTCAAGAATAGTTAGTAGCTAGAATGGATCTATTCAGTTTATTAATAGTTTAGTTAATTTGCTCACTGTTAAAGTAACAATTTATTTATCCAACTCTTTAATTATGAAGTGAGTGTCGTGGGTTATTTAACCACTCCTTTATAACAGACTGGGGGCTAAGGTCTGGGATCCGGATGGCTCGGGTCCCGGCAGATTTAAACAGTCTTGGGGATTGGTGTCCTAGATCTTTACATAAAACTTAGTTGAGAAGTGAAAAATCTGTTTAATTTTCATCACTTTTATTGTTGGTTACATCAAAAGGGCGGTAATGTCTCTTCAGTTACTAAGAGTTTTTTTGAGGGTGGATGAAGTGACTTTGGGGGTTTTACAAAAGGTGAGCAAGGAAAAGCTGCTGGAATTGGCATGCAAGCTGGAGTTTGGGTTGCTTTTGTCTGTAAGAAAAGTAGTAGTAATTACAGCAATAGCTCAACGTTTAAATTTGCTGGAAACGCCATCAGGATCTTTGGCAATGGCTACGTTGCAGGTGAAGCAGCTTGAACAGGTAAGAGAACTGTTTGAATTATAGTTATAAGCAGAGGAAAGACAAAAAGAAAGAGGAAGAAAGGGAGAAAGAGAGTTTGAACTTCAAAAGTTGCAAATTAGACAGAGTAGCCAACTTAAAATGATGGAAATGAAGGTAGAAGATAGGCATGGTGAGGAGAAGGGTGATGATGAGCAGACCTATTGTAGTCAAAGACCTGGTAGGGATATATACAAATATATCAAAATGTTACCTAAATTTGATAAAGATGTAGAAGCCTTTTTTATTTCCTTCAGAGAAATTGGCTAAACAAGTGAACTGGCCGGAGACTGTGTGGCTGATGTTAAATCAGACCAAGTTGGTATGCAGGGTTAATGAGGTGTTTGCAGCGTCGTCAAAGGAGGTGTCAGGAGACTATGGAGAAGTAAAGCAGCCTAATTTGAGTGCCTACGAATTGGTACCAGAAGCATACAGGCAATGGTTCAGAGAGGCAAGAAAGGAACCACGTCAGACTTGTATCGAGTTTGAAAGAATTAAACAGAGCAACTTTGATATATGGATGAGGGCTATAAAGATAGAAAAGAAGTGAGGATCTTAGAGGCGTTATTCTGCTGGAGGAGTTTAAAAACTTACTTCCAGAAGTGATAAGAACTTGTTGAGGAATAGAAAGTTAAAACAGTAAGAAGAGAGATGGCAGATGAATACACATTAGTGCATAAATCAAAACCTAGCTTCTGACAGCAGTTTCATTCTGAGGGATAGAAGTTGGGAAAGAGGGAGATCTTTCAATGGAAAACAAAAAGTAGATTACACTGGGAACAGTTTACCATATGAGAAAAGAAACCTACGAAGATGGAAAAGAGGTGAAAGACCTTAGGTGTTTTCGCTACAATAAGGTGGAATACACACCGTCTCGGTCCTGGTGGTTTAAGAGAGGCACTGTGAAAAAGAATGTGGTGAAAGAGGCTGAACTAGTGGATTAGTTGAGGTATAGAAGGAAATGCCAAGGGAGGCCGAGAAGCTGCAGGAGAGTGCACAGCCTAGGCACAGGCTGGAAAGTAATATGGTGCCTGATCTTTTCAAAGACTTCACTTGTGTGGGTAAGGTTTACTCAGGAAGAACAGTGGAGTAGAGAAGAAGTTAAAATATTGAGAGAAACAGGAGCTAGTCAGTCTCTAATAGTAAGAGATGAAAATATTTGCACTCCTTCTGAAATGCTGCCTGAGTGAATGAGTGATCTGTGGAATAAGTGGAGAGAGAATTAGTGTGCAAGATGAGGCTAGAAAATTCAATCAAGACTGGTGAAGTGATAGTGGGAGTGATGGGGAAAAATTGGGTATTTCAGGAATAAAGTTTGTTCTTAAACGATTACAGCTGGATCAAAGATGGGAGTGATGCCCGTTGTAGCAAAGGGGGTGAAAGGAAACCAGGGAACTGAGAAGCTAAAAGGAAAATACTCTGGAAATTTTCCGGACTGTGTGGTGATGATCCCACGGCCATAAGCTGAAACAAGAAGGGAAAACAAAAGCAGGACGAAGGGATTGACGTCCAGTAAGCTGACACTCTGATGAACTGGTAAAGGAAAAGCCTAAGCAGGTAGAGGATAATGCAGAGGTGGTTAGTTCTGAAAGATTAATGGAGTTACAACAAAAAGATGAGACGATAAAGGATTTGTATCATAAAGCCTACTCTGAAAAGGAAGCAGAGTTTTTTTAACCCAAGGATAAAATCTTAAGGCAGAAATGGAGACCGTGGCAGGTTAGTGCAGATGAGAAATGGGTGGAAGTTCACTAGATTATGTTGCTGGTGGAATACAGACAGGAAGTATTGGGTAGCACACAAATTACCTGTAGGAGGTCATCCAGGAGTGAGGAAGATTCAGGCTAAGATACAAAAGCATTTCTATTGGCCTGGATTACATAAAGATGCGGTTGAATTTTGCCGTACCTGTCATAAGCCTCGGATGAGGGAATGCCACAGGCAGTAATAAAACCAGTGCCTTTGATGCCAATTCCTGCATTTGAAGAGCCTTTCATAAGGGTTATGATTGATTTTGTGTAGGTCCCCACCCTAAAACCAAAAGTGGGAACCAGTTTTTGCTAACCGCAATGGATGTGACTACCAGGTTTCCAGAGGCAGTTCAATTATGGAATGTGAATGCAAAAATGGTTGTGGAAGAGTTGCTTGCTTTCTTTACCTGTTATAGACTACCCAGGGAGATTGTGTCAGACCAAGGGTCCAGTTTTACTGCCAAATTATTTAGGCATCAAACACTGTAAATCAAGTGAGTACCATCCTGAATCCGAGGGAGCATTGGAAAGGTGCATCAGGCCCTAAAGACAATGCTGAGGGCTTATTGACAGGATTACCCAAATAACTAGGATAAAAGTATCCCATTTATATTATTTGCTATTAGAGATGCTCCAAATGAATCGACTCGGTTTACTCCATTTGAATTGATATTTGGACACAAAGTAAGAGGGCCTTTGAAATTAAGGAAAAGTTAATAGGTCTGAAGTCCGAGATCTCTCAGTTGGATTATGTATCTGAGGTAAGAGAAAGATTTAGCATCGTAGGTGAATTAGCTGGACAATATTTGAAGGTGGCACAGCACCTAATGAAACAAGAAGCAGATAAGGAATCTAAAATTAATACGTTTGCCCGTGGCAATAAAGTATTGATGCTGTTAACAGTGGTAGGAGATCCCTTCAAAGCAAGGTTTAGTGGTCCCTGTTAGGTTTAGAAGAAGTGAAGTCTGGTGAATTATCTGACAAAGATCCGAGATAGGAAAAAAAAAATTGGGTACGTCGAGTGAATATGCTGAAACATTACTAATACAGGGAAAGGGAACCGGAGAAACAGGTATTAGTTACTGCCACTCAGAATGAGGAATCAAATCCAGATGATGTGGATTTTGATGTGCCTCAGAATAAGTTGAACAATGAGGAAACCCTTAAAGAATGGGATAGGGTAGTGAACCAGCTAACCCAGGAACAGAGAACTGAATTGAAAGACTTGTTACAGTGCTATAAGGACATGTAGAAATAGAATGGGGAGGGCTAACACCATAGTATATGAGGTTGATGCAAGGAATGCTGTTCTGATAAAACAACACCCCTCCGGGCTTAATCCCCTCAAAGCAGCGCAGGCATAGAAGGAAGTGGAAGCGATCCTCCAAGAAGATGACAGAGCCAAATCAAAGCGAGTGGAGTTCGCTGATCGTGTTGGTTCCGAAACCTGATGGTACTCCATGATTTTCTGTAGGTTATCAGAAGGTCAACACTGTGACAAAATCTGACCCATAGCCCATTCCAGGGCTGGAGGATTGTGTGGAAAATGTAGGACAAGCCACTTACATCACAAAGTCAGACTTGCTTCGCGGTTCCTGGCAAGCACCTTTGTCAGAGAGAGTGAAAGAAGCTTCTGCTTTTGTAACCCCAAATGGGCTATGTCAATTTAAAGTCATGCCCTTTGGAACGAAAAATGCACCAGCCACATCTCAAAGATTTAAGAAGAGTTGTGGCAGGATTGACTAATTTTGCCGTTTATATAGATGACTTTGTGATCTTTAGCCATTTGTGGAAAGAGCACATGTAGCATTTAGCAGACTTCTTTGAGAGACTACGGAAGGAAAAGTTGGTCATAAACGTAGCAAAAACAGAATTCGTGAAGGTGGAAGTGACATTCTTAGGGCACAACATTGGACACAGACGGTGTCGCCGAGGAATGTGAAGACGAAGGCCATTGAGCAATTCCAACACCGTCCTTGAAGAAGTGCTACGATTTTTAGGATTGAGCAGATTCAACAGGAAATTTGTATCAAGCTTTACTAGTGTGGCAGCACCGCTGATGGATTTGTTTAAAAAGAGCACAAAACTTTGGTGGACCGAACAGTGCCGGGAGGCAATGGGAATTTAAAAACAGTGTTAACAACCACACCAGTTTTAGCCACGCCAGATTTCACATGATGTAGTTGTTGGAGCTATGTTGTTATAGGAGGATGATTGTGGAATTGAAAGGCCAATTGATTATTTTTCAAAAAACAAAATATTCAACCATTGAAAAAGAGTTAGTTTGGTACTAGCTTTACAACACTTTAATGTCTATGTTGCAAACGATTCATCAGAGATGGATGTGTATACAATCACAATCCTTTGACTTTTCCAGAAAGATAGAAGGACAAGAATACCAGATTATTTTGTTGGAGCCTTCAGTTACAAGCATTTAATTTACAGATTCTACGTGTTGCGGGTTGTGAAACTGTTATTGCTGATGCTTTATCATGGGTTTAAAGGAAAATCTCTGTATATAAAGTTAGAAACGACAGTGTATACAGTACAGTTGCACTTTAGTTGATAAAAGATTAGTTTTTGTTTTAAAAAGATAGTTAAGCTCAAGGGAACAGAAAAATAGACTTTAATGGTACAAATGCTATCAGTACTGTCATGTATGATGCTGTAATTGTATTTTGTTGCACGACAGTTGATATATAGTTTTTGCCAAAAGAGTGCCTGATGATAAATTACTAAAACTTAAATATTTTTACGATAACCAACAGTGGGTGGATGAGAGCGGAGACATTTACAGAGCGACCTATACAGTTTTTAGGTGCTCTAGATTGTCTGGAACACTGCAGGCACTCAGTAAAGAGAAGGTAAGATCCACTACAAGAACCCAGAAATTATACCATCTTTTTAATGATACCTGTATTTGGTAGCGTGTTGTATTAGAGTAGGCAAACTTTAAAAATAACATGGTTTCACTTTCCCACTTTCTCCCTCTCTCTCTTATTTTGCCACCACAAGGAAGTCAGTTATTGAGCATGAGTGGCAGTCTGCAGAGAGTTTAAAATAAATAAATGGGAGATGTCCAAGCTATAATTCCTATAAATGTAGAAATCAGGAGCAGGGGTAGGCCATTTACACCCTTGAGCCTGCTGTGCCCTTCAATAAGATCACGATTGATCTAATTAACCTCAGTTTAGCATTCCTGACTACCTTGATAACCTTTTCATCCCCTTGCTTACAAAAGAAATTATCTATCTCTGCCTCAAAAACATATTCAAGAACTCTTTTCCTTATAAGATGATAGAAGCAGAGTTCCAAAGACTTATGAACCTCAAAAATTCACTTCATTCAAATGGACAGTTGCTGATTGATTTGATTTGATTTTTTTTTTAATAAGAACAGTGACCCCTAGTTTAAGATTCTCCCAAAAGAAGAAACATCTTCTCCACATCTCCCCTGTCAAGACCCCTCTGGATTTTCTGTTTCAATCACATTGCCTCTTACTGCCGTAAACGGCAGCGGATACAAGCTTAGCCTGACCAGTCCTTTTGCGTAAGACAGCCACCCATTCTAGGTATTAAACATTCTCTGATCTGTTTCCAAATTTGGTACAATTTGCCTTGTCACTGACCCTTTATCACTGAGTCAGTTCTGCAGGGTCCTGTCCAGCATTATTTTTTGAGCACTAAAAAGGTTAAGATAAAATAGCCATGGTTTATCAGACCGTAAGCTGGTCTCTCATTACAGATGCACAACTAGTGGTGATTTAACGCGAGGCCACGACACTTCAGGCGGGGTAAGAGGTTGAGATGGTAACCTCAGCTGGTCCGAGAATTAAACTCTCTCTGTTGGCATCACTCTGTTTTGCTTTGTAAACCTGACATTTGGCCAACTGAGCTAACACCAATCCTTGTTAGGCACAGGAGAGGTCTTAGAAAAGTGGAGAATAGCCATTGTTGTTCCTTTGTTGAAGAAGGGCAATAGGAATGATCCAGGAAATTTATAGGCCAGTGACCCTTCTATCAAAGGTAGGGAAATTATTGGAGAAGGTTCTTACAGACAGGGTTTACTCGCGTTTGAAAAAAAATAGACTTATTAGGGATAGTCAGCATGGATTTATGCAGCGGAGGCTTGACTCATAAATTGAGTTTTGGAGGAAGTCATAAAGGTGATTGACAAAGAGAGTAGGGAGTGGATATTATCTACGTGGACTTAAGTAAAATGTTTGCTAAGTTCTGTCATGGTAGGCTCGTCTAGGAGATTAAGTCATATGGGATCCATGGTGAGTTGGTAAATGGAGGGATGTTTTTCTGATTGGAGGTCTGTGACCAATGGTGTTCCACAAGAATCCGTGCTGGGAGCTCTGCTTATAACACATGAAAATGGTTTGGATGAAATTGTAGGCAGACTGATTGATTGGAAATGACTCAAGTTTGTGGAGTTGCAGATATTGAGGAAGGTTGTCAAAGGATACGGCAGGATATTAGATCATTTGAAAAGTTGGGCAGAGAAATGGCAGATCGAGTTTGATCCAGACAAGTGTGAGGTGATGCATTTTGGGAGATCAAATACGAGAGCAATGTATAGTTTAAATAGCTGGACCCTTCGGAGCATTGATTATACAGAGGGATCTTGGGGTGCAAGTCCATTGCTCCTTGAAAGTGGCAACACAAGTGAATAAAAAAGGCATAAACAGCATGAGGTCAGGTCATTGAGTATAAAAGTTGGCAAGTCATGTTGCAGCTGTAACTTTAGGCCACGTTTAGAGTACTGTGTGCAGTTCCACTTGCCCCAATAAGGAATGATGTGCAGAGTGCAAAAGAGATTTATCAAGATGTTCCCTGGAATTGGAGTGTATAAACTATAAGTAAAAGCTGTTATGTTTTCGATAGAGCAATGGAGGCTGAGGCAGCGATCTGATCGTGTATAAAATTAAGGGGCATGGATAGGGTGAATAGTTGGAGTATTTTTCAGAGGGTGGAAGTGTCAGATACTAGGGGTATAGGTTCAAGGTGAGGGGGAGAAAGTTTAAAAGAGATGAGTGAGGAAAGTTTTTTTTTTTTTTTTTTTTAAATTTACACAAAGGCTGGTAAGTGCCTAGAACGTGCCGCTAAGGGAGGTTGTAGAAGCCGGTACAGTAGTAATGTTGAGGCATTTAAACAGACAGGGAACAGATGGATACAAATTATTTTCGGGGAGATGGGATTAATTTAGAATGGCATTATGATTGGTGCAGACAGAGTGGGCCAAAGGGCCTATTCTGTACTGTGTTGTTCTATGTTCTTATAACCGTGTGGGTTCAGTTCCCATCCTGGCTGAACTGTGGAACCCTCAGGTTAAACCACCACAGGTCATCTCGCTCTAATGGGAGAGCATCCTTGTGGTCTGGCCAGGCCATGGCAAACTTACCTGAGCTCTAACAAAATAGGGAATGATGAAGGCCCAGCACCAGTCACCTACCTACCTTATTGCAATAAGGGATTGAAAATTGCTAAGATTGTTTACTTCCTTAATGTGTATTTGATATAAAAAATATCTCAAATATGCTGCTTTTATGAGCAGCAATTGTACAAAATGTTTTGTTCTGGTTATTCTGATGAGCAGTAGAAGCCATGACATTAGTGTTTCACCATCCTTACTTGTGGTATATCGAACTTCTAACAATATGCTATGTCTGTTGCATTGCATTAATTGTTCCAATGTCTGAGTAGACTTTTTATGAATGATTTTGATTGAAATGTTCCAAAATACCCTTGAAGGAAAGGTTTGCCTTGAGATTAGTATCTATATAGCTCATAAGAGGTTAGAAATTTTATCTAAACTTTTCTTTGTGTACAATTGCTAGGCAAATGGGAACATTGAAGGATGAACAACTCTCTTTGAATGTGGAATGCAATTGGATTGGTTTCCACAATAATAAATTGTTATTGAATGGGTATTATAGCACCTGAAAGTCAAACAAAGAAATATTCAGTGGTTTTCAGGTTGTCATGTCCTTGATGGGAGGAATTAATTGAAAATCAAGCCCCACTATTAGTCACTTGGATGGTTGATGTTTGACTATGACCTATTTAACATAAAAGAAACTGCTGCCAAGTTTACTGCTGATCAAGAAAACAAAACTTATTTATTAAGCTATTTTGCCACAAGGATAACTTTGCTGCTATAATGTGCCAATTTAAACTATATCTAAGTGCACTAATAATCATACACAAATAAGAAGGATAAGATAAACAAGTTTTCCAGGATTATCATGGGTAAAAAATATTGGTAGAAAGGAACAAAGTAGGTGGATCAAGATCTGAAAGCAAAAGAGAAAATTAGGTGGAATTTCTCAGTTCCTTTGGGGTTTGGTGATGGTATTATGTTGACCACAGCAATTCAGTTAGTGGTCAGTTAGACCTAGGCCTTTGGTTAAATTAGAAGTTTTCTTTCTTTGCAAGGTCTTTGTTATTCCTTTCCCACTCAGTGAGAGCACCCAATCTGACTTATTTGCAGTCTTTTGGAGGTCTGAGAGCCCAATTATTCTCAATTCTGTGCCAAACTGCTACTTAAAACCAATCCAGAATTGGGCAGTTCTTCTTCTTTATTGCCCACCCAAAGATATCAGAGTGTCAGCACCTCTCTAAAGTATCAAGTCCAATTTCAGTAAAATTACATGCTCGTGTAATACTATGTGGAACCTCCACAATTCCACTTTTTCGTTTCAAGTTTATTTAAAATAAAACCAGTTCATCTCTGCCACAGAGCAGTTGCGTTTATATTTCAAATGAAATGTGTAGTCCGTATTTAAATGGAACATCTTCTGATCTCTTGAAGTTGCCAATTATGTTTATGCCTCGAGATAAAGGTGACTATTCTCAGTTCTGGGATTTGGAATGTCGTCTGGCTGCTGAACCACACAGGAAGCACAAGATTCAGTTTCAGCTTCATGGAGCGGTGAGTGTTGACTATAGTTTCAGCTTCATTTTGCAATCTTTATTTTCCTGGTTTTAAAAACTTAACATTGAGCAGTTCAATCACCTTATTTTGAGTTGACATTTCCACTTAGAATTTTTGAATGGGAGAGCATCATAAGTATGTGTTAAATTTAGGCAGTTATGGTAAAGTATACTGTTTAACAAAGAAAGATGAACATGTTCCACTGCTGTATGGAAACGAATTGAGAATGGGCATGTATTCTTTCTTCCTTGCATTGTGCGATATAGTGCAAACAAAAACTAGTTGGATCAATGCGTGATCTTTTAAAAGCAGGACAGCAGCCAAAAAAATTCTGAAAAGAATTAATGGATTTGTAGCCTTATAAAGTAGGCACGTTATGAATACAGACAATACATTTGCTAATAATGAGTGTTATGGCAAAAATGCATTTGTACGATTGGATGAACGATCATGTATTGAGAATGTGAAAGCTGAAGAGTTTCTCAGGAAAGTAGTGTCAGCATCATGCAACATCAATCACATATCATTTTGAATATCAAAATTGCATTTTTCATGTTGGCTATCAGCAAAGTTAAGACCAGAAACACACTGGAGGTGATGATCATACTATGATTTAAGAGTGTATAGTGAATGTATGTTCACTACTTGATTTTGGCTATTTGAAGTGTTTCAATTTCATACTGTTCCCACCCCCCTCTATCTCATGTATAATGGTCAGCCTGGTGTGATGAGCTGTCTGAGAGACAGATTCTAGTTAGTTGTGTGTCACTCTGGGTGTACTAGATCGTGCCAAGAAAGTATAATATTTGTTGAATTCATGTAAAAAGAAACTACTGCAGAAAGAAACGAATCATTTAAATATCATGGCCAGTGGGCCCAGGCAGCATCCTGGTTGGAGTGCTGAAAATTTGTGCTCCAGAATTAGCTGAATCTCTAGCCAAACTGCTCCAGTGCAACTACAACACTGGCATTTATCAACAATTTGTGGAAATTGCCTGTTCCTATAAAGCAGGACAAAAGTCCAACCAATTACTTCCTATTGATGGACTTTAAATCATCAAAAGAGGGACGTTGCCATTGTGATTGAGTGATATTTGTATCACCAAAAGCTCCACATTGCTCCAGATCTCATGAATTTGATCCAAATTTGACAATGAGCTGAATTCCAGAGGTGAGTGTGACTGCTCTTTCACATCATATTTGACTGAGTATGTCATTTAAGGAGTCTTGATGAAATTGAAATAATTGAGGTAAGATTCCTCTGTTTGGAGACTTTACCAGCACCAAAGAAGCCAAACATCTAGGCTGGAGGAGTTCCTGTGTTCAGTTCCATTCATATTTCTTCAGATACTGGAGCAGACCATTTCTGGAAGTGGCAAGTCCAAGGGCTTGTAACACCGATGCCAAACAAAAGCCAGGCAATATTCACCTCCAAGAGATTCTAACCATCTTCCCTTGACATTGCCACCACTGAATCTTCCATCATCAACTTCTTGTGCTCAATGTCAACAAAAAACTGAACTGGACTTGCCATATAAATACTGTGGCTATAAGACCTAGTCAGAGATTGGAAATTCTGTGGCAGCTGGTTCACCAAAATCATCTACAAGGCATAAGTCAAGAGTGTGATGGAATGCTTTCCGTTTTCTTGGAAGATATAGCGCCAACAACACTCTAAGCTTGATACTATCTGGCAAATAAAAATCTGCTTCATTAGCACGCTATCCGCTGCCTTTAATGTTCACTTTGTCTACCACCAGTGCACTGTGACCACGGTATGTACATACCGTCTACATGATTCACTGCAACAATTTGCCAAAGCTCCTTATCACCATGATGAGGGCAGCATGCTCAGGAGAACAAGATCACTATCCTAGCTTGCAAATATATTACTGTTTCTACTTTACTGGATCAAAATCCTGTAATTACCTGCCTAACAGCACTTTTGAGAGCACTTTCACCATACGGACTGCAGCAATTCAGAAAGACAGCTCACTACTACCTTGAGGCAACAAAGAATTGTTAATGAATGTTGGCATTTCTAACACCTGCAATATGTGAGTGATCTAAAATTAATTGATACTACAGCTGAATGGATAAGTAAATTTGATTTTGTTCTTCTGCTCAACCTTCAATAATTTGATATGGCATTTTTGTTAGTTTCATTGATTGATAAGTAATGAATGCAAATTATCTCTTTTTTTAGGGGTCAAAAGCTAAGGAGAGCTCCAAGGAAACTGATTCAGCCACAAAACTGGTGAAAACTGAAACAGCAATGAAAACCAGGAAATCTATATCAGAAAGATTGGCCAGAAAAGGGTTAGTAAAACAAAATTGCAATAAACATATTTCAAGAAATAGGGGTGGACCAGATGGCCCTTTTGAGCCTGCTCCACCATTCAATATGATCATGGTTGATCATTGTCCTTAAATTCACTATTTTTCCTGCTCCCCATATCTCCTTGGCTCCATGAGAGACCACATGTCTGTCTATGTCAGCCTTAAATATATTTAACAGTTTATTATTCACAATTCTTGGGTAAAGAATTTCACCAATTCTCAACCTATTGACTGAAGAAATTTTATTTTCATCTCATTCCAAAATGATTGGCACCTTCTCCTAAAACTCTGCTGTCATATTGTAGATTCTCCAGCTAGCAGGGAAAACGATCACTGTCTAGCCCAGTCCCTTAAATTGGTGAAGAACTGCCTTGGACATGTTCTACTTTTTTGTTCCCCCTGTTGGTGTGTTATGAACTTCCTCTTCTTTTCTTCAGTCAAAAGTATTACAGCTTTGCCGAGTTACAATTGCTTGGGCCATAAATATGATAATGTGAGAGATTATATGTTGACATTACAGCCAATCCTGATCTTGTCCTTTTACCTGACGATACTTTCACACAGCCACTTCCCTTCTCCACACTATCCTTTGAGTTAAATTGAACTTCAGTGGTATTATTAGAATCTAATAAGCTTTTGCATTGCACATCATTGAAATAGCTTGATTGGACCATGAAAACTTTGTTATCCTACTTTCCCATTTGAAGGATTAAAAAAAAATTACCATCCTAGTTTGAAACAAGAAACTAATAAGTAGAATGATCACTGATAATTTTGTACTATGTTTGGGTTAATAGGCTGGTGGCCCTAGGCCTCAAGAATGTATGCTTTAATTTTGGTGTCAAAAAGTACCTGGATCCTAATTTTGTTTCCGTTGGAATTATTTAGTGATGATAGGGAGGGGTGACTGAAGCATACAAGATTCCAAATGGTCATGACAAGGTGAAACAGAAACCTCTTTTGCAGGTTAGGGTTCACGGTCCTAAAAAGGCAACTCCTCACTTTTTTTTTAAACAGGGATTAAGCAAATCTTTTTCTCTCAGAACGTTATGCAATTTTCGAACTTTGCCTCATGAGGCAACGTAAGCGGGGTCATTGAATGTTTTTAAGGTGGAAGTCGATTCTTGTTAAGCAAGAGAATGAAAGGTCATCGGGCAGTGATGGAAATGTGGAATTTAAAAAGCAAACTGATCAGCCAGAGTCGTATTGAATAGCAGAGCAGATTCAAGCAGCTAATACGTCCAATTCAAATGTATATTCTCAAATGTTTTCTTAGAGCATACCAAGAGAAGCTGCTGCAGTCTTTGTTTTTCTCAATGATTGTCTGTTAACTTGAGGTTCCTATGATTGATTGTAGCAACTATGGCTGTTCCAGAGAAAATTATATTTGAGAAAAGACCCTTGAGTTTGTATCCCTATGTATAGACAGTAATGGACATAGCCTTGGCCTGACCTGGATTGGGTAAGGATTATGCAAGGTGAAACTCTATCCATTTCGCTCTCAACTGCGGAAGAAAAGATAGATTGTGAATTTGATTGCAGCTTCTTTGTTTGCCTGTATATCTATTTTGTGATTATTGCAACTAATCCAGCTTGCACATTGATCTTTCGGCCAATCTAAAATTTTAAGTTTGTTGTTTTCAGACAAGAACAGCCACCTTTCAAAGGTGTATTTGCTCCTGAGGATCTGTACTCGTTTCCAGCAACACCTGTTGGAGAATCAAGCACATTAAAGATTAATTTGCGCAATAGTTCATCTGTTGCGCATATGGTGAGTTCCTTCTGCGCAGCAAGTTTAAACACTAAATATTAGTGCCAATTTCTAAATGATCATTCCTAAAACAAACCCATAACTTACGTTTGTTACAAAACAAGATGATGACATAAAGCAGAAGAATCCTTGCTCACGAGGAACTACTCGAGTGTTTTGAGACATGCTGACGGCACAATGATTTACAAATTTTTTTTTAAATCTTTGATTATTGCTTAATACCAGATGTTTAGAGATCAAATACTGAGGCACTTTTCCTGGATTTCCAAGTTTCTTTTCAACAAACCTGGGATATGCAGCTAGAATAATTTGCTTCCTGAATTGTTTCTGAAGTATGGGTTACAGAGAAAATGTATCTTCCTTTTAGATTTAACTTCCAAAACTTGACAGTGAATCTGATCCTTTGCAATTGATGCCGGCCATGTTTTTTTTTAGAAGAAACTTTCCAAGTGTACAACTAATATACTTTGTATTTTCTGTATCTTGTCTGCTGCAAGGGGCCAGATAATGTTGACATGCCAGGTCTCACTGCCATTCTTTACTTTGTGTATAAGCTATCCTAGGTAGCTGGGTTTCCCTCAAAATCATCTACAAATCTCCTGGTTAATTTTGACTCCAGGAGAAGCTCTCTGCAAATTGCTAACCACAACATTTCAGAACTTAAGACGGTTTCTCCTGCTTTTCTCCTTAAATTCCTCCTTAGTTGCACCCATCATCCTTGCATCCATTTAGAAGTGTAAGAAACGTGTGGGTTTCCTTGTTATTGTGTATCAGCTGCGTTCCTCCCTTTCACTTCCACACTAAACCAAGCTCATCTTCTCCAGTTTCTATATCTTGACCACCTGACCGTGTGACTTGCCAACTACTGACTCAGCCCTATTCCATCAATATTGTTACCACCCAGTTCTTTTTCCCAGACCCCTGTGCTAACTTGCAATAAGTTCTGTGCTTTCTACACTCGTGTTTCAGTTTGGAAGTTTTCATCCCAATGTTTAAATCAATTGATGTTTTCATGTCTCCATTTCTAAGCAACTTCAGTCCTACAATATATTTCTCCGATTCTGGCTGCTTCTCCCCCCACTTTCTTCACCTCAACGTTGATAGCCATGTATTCAGTTATCCAGGTGTGAAGCTATGGAATTCACTGCTAAACTTTTTCCATCTTCCTCCTCCTCTTCTAAGATTTTTGGGGCAAAAAAAATACAAGGAGCAAGCTTTTGGTCACCGATATGGATGTCATCACCTCTGGCTTGTATCAATTTTTGATTCCTTCCTGTGAGATTCCTTGAAGATTCTACAAGGTTAAAGGCACTATCTAAAGTGATAATTTGTTGCTGTTGTCTGAAGTTTTGCGGTTGAGTTTGTGTGTTGACATTGTTGAACATATTTGTAAGGTCAACAAAGATAACTGATGCTGAACTGTTTATTTCAACTTTTAATTATCCATTATGGGAAGGGATGGGCATATAAATAGCAAGACAATAGAGTAATAGTCTTGTCTTGTATAAAAATTGTCCTAACTGCTTTTCTTTAATAATACAAAAGTAGCTCACAAGGAGAGTTTACTTTCTTTATCACATCGGAGGTCGCAGATAGAGCAACAATTTGTATCGATATGACACGATTTTAAGGTAGCAAACAAAACACAACAGACCTGAAAGGAAGATGATGTTTTGTTGAGGTCAGTCATCTCATCTAAAGAACATTACTGCAAAATTTCCTCAGCACCCCTAGGTTCAACCATCTAAAACAGCTTAGTCAGTGACTGACTGTCCTTCAGAGGATGTCGGGGCAAGGATGTTTGCTGATGATTGCATGGTGTCCAGCACCACTCATCACATTTCAGATATTGAACCAGTCTGTGTCCAAAAGCAGCAAGACCTAAACAACTTCCAGGCCTGGGCTGACAGTTGTAAGTGTCAATGACCATCTCCAACAAGAAAATCCAACCATTGTCTCTTGACTTTCACTGATATTACCATCACTTAACATTACAGGGATTACCATTGACCAGAAATTATTTAGACCAGCTATATAAATACTATGGCTAGAAGAGCAGGTCAGAGTCTGGGAATTCTGCAGTGAATAACTCACTACCTGACTCCCTGAAAGCCTGTTTGCTATCTACAAGGCACAAGGAGTGTGCTGAAATACTCTCTACTTGCCTGGATGAATGCCACTCCAACACTAAAGAAGCTTGATACCAGGAAAAGCAGCATGCTGTCTGAGCTGTTCATCATTCACTCCTTCCACTGTTGTTGTACAGTGGCAGAAATGTGTATGTACCACCTACAAGGTGCACTGCAACAACTGCAGGTTCCTTAGACAGCACCTTCCAAACCAGTGCTCTCTACAACTTAGAAGGGCAAGCAATAGGTCTGTAGGGACACCATCATCAGCCAGTTCCCCTCCAAACCCCATACCATCTGACTTGGAACTATATCACTGTTCCTTCAGTGGCTAAATGAAAATCCTGGAACTCCCTTAACAACAGTTTGTATACCTGCAGCGGTTCAAGAAGACAGCTCATTGCTACCCTATCAAGGGCAAATTGGGATGTACAGTACATGCCTCGTCAACGGTGGCTGTATCCCATGAATGATTTATTTTAAAAGCCCACTGCACTTCACAGAAGAAATATTGAGTAACATTAGACACCAAGCTAATGATATATTGAATGATGAAAACACTGATGAAATGTTTTGAGCCAGTGTCAAATTTTACATTATTCTGTAATTGCATATCTTGGAATGCATGCATGTTGCATAGATGTGCATTATACAGCAGAAGGCACTATTTGCAGCTGCTAGTAGCTATTTCCAAGCCATTGACTGCTTTGAGAGCAAAGAACTTGATATCTGCATTTATGGGGTTGTGTGTTGTTTTTGACTTGACCCAAGCATCACTAGTAAATACAGTCTTGCAGTTTGCTATTGGCTGTAGGCTTCTTTAACTTGCTGAATGGGTTGAGCCATCATTATTTACAAAAACAGTATCTAAACAAGAGCAAGCTGATTGTGTGACAACTTTGTCTTAAAGTTTTTAGGCTTGCCTGTTGTTTGTTTAAGGAACTATAAACTTACAGGGCTCGCTTAACAACTTAACATGCATTATCAGATGGGGAGCACATCTATGATTTTTAGTTTCGGTTCCCATGAAGACAAATAAATGGCCTGTAGCCGGGTGCGGGGTGGGGGGGGGGCAGCGGTGGAGAATGGGGGTAGTGGCAGGTGCTGAACTGGCTTAGCAGTAATGTTACGGGGCCAATAATAGGATCGCAAGCAAATCCTTTTAGGATGTGGTTTCAAATTCCACGATAGATGGTGAAATTTGAGTTCAGTAAATAAAAGTCTGGAATTATAATTTGCCTGATGGCAACTACTGTTCATTGTTTGTTTTTAAAAACCCATCTGGTTCACTATTGTCCTTTTTAAGGAATGATATTGCCATCCTTACCTGATTTGGTATTTTGTTTTATTCAGACATGAGATGTGGGCCTCACTGGCTAGGCCAGCATTTATTGCCCAGGGAAGTTGCAAGCCAAATACATTGTGCATCTAGAGTCCCCTATAGGATAAATCAGGTGAGGATGGCAGTTTCCTTCCCTAAAGGATGTTTTTCCTGACGACAGATTGATGTTTTCATAGTTGTCATTTGATTTTTTTTTTTGTATTGAATTCAAATTCCTCCATCTGCAGTGGCAGAATTCGAACCTTATTCCCAGAACATTACCTTGGTCTCTAGTTTAATGGTCGATTTGATAATATCACTCGCCAACCCCTCCCCAGATCTACGTGTGGATCTGGACCCACTGAAATGTGATTGAGTCTTAACTGCTCTCTGAAATGGCAAGCCAATTAATTGAATCAAGCCACTATGAGGCCTAAATGAAGGAATAGGACTGGACAGACCGTGGAATTGGGCACAGCACCTGAAACGACAATATCAAACACAGACCTGTTGACCCTGCGAAGCCCTCTTGCCACCTTCTGGGAATTTGTAGCAAAACTGAAAGTGCTTTACAGACTAGTTGAACAACAGCCTGATACAGTCATGCTTATCTTATAGCAATCTGTCAAATCCTACCAGCACCAGCCCAGCATGTGTCCTGTCCCATCAGCAGAACAGACCTCTAGAGGTGGCGGCACAATGTTACAGTTACAAAGGATTTACCATTGAAGTCCTCAACATTGACTCTTGATCCCTTAAGATCTCATGGCATCAGGTTAGACGTAGCCAAGGAGACCTCCTGGCAAATGCCACCTTTTAAGTTGCTGCCACACTTGTACATACTTTTGTCCTCCTCCCCTGCAGGCTAATTAGAGCACAATTGCTGTCACCAGGCTGGCCAGGTTATTTCTGCTAGACTGGGCCTGAGGCAAGTGTTAAGGAACCAACAAGATGGAAAAGTCTCTAGTTCTTGGCAAACCACCTGTCACGTGTGAAATCCTTTCATGACACTATCAGCAAGAGTGTCCATTGCCTAGTCCTGGTGAAGATTAAGCTCTGCCTACACATTCAGGATAATCATGTTGTGTGGCACTACAACTATGCTAACTGGATCAGACTTTGAACAGATCTAGCAACTCAAAATAGAGCATCTTTGAGGTGCTAAGGGCCATCAGAATTCAACCAGTATCTGCAATCTCATGACCTAACACATTCCCCACTCTATAATTTGTCATCCAGTACATGTAAAAATGAGGCGTCAACCTACAACACCAGACTAGAGTCAAACAGCAGAAGTAACATGCAACAGTCAAGTGACCCCACAACCCCCAATGGATCAGATGAAGCTCTTTAGTTCTGCTACATCCAGTCATGAATGGTGATAGACATATAAACAACTTGCTAGAGGACAGGCTCAACAACTATCCCTATCCTCAATGATGGGGTGGCTGAGCGCATCAGTGCAAAGTGATAGAAGATGTAATTGACAGTGCTATCAAGTAGAAGTTGCAAGATAACCTGCTCACTGCTTCATTTTGCCTTCTACTCCTGCTCTCATTATAGCCGTAGTCCAAACGTGGACAAAACGGCTTAATTCCAGAGGCGTGGTGAGTGACAGCCTTTCATTCTAAGGTTATGCATGACAGCGTGACATCAGGAATATCCACCAAAACTGCAGTCAGTGGGAATTGGGGGTGGGGGAGCTTTCTGCTGATTGGACTCATGGCTAGCACAGGGTAAGATGGTTATTGTTGGAACTCAATCATCTTAGCCCCAGGACATCACTATGAGGCTTTCTGAGGGTGTCCTAGTCCCAACCATTTTCAGCGTCTTCACCAATGATCTTCCCTCGTCATAAGGTCAGAATTGAGGTTGTTCACTGCATGATGTTTAGTTTGTGACACCTCGATTACTGAAGCATATGCATCCGTATGCAACAGGACCTGGAAAACATCTGGGTTGGCTGATGAGTGGCAAGAAATGTTGTTGCCACAGCTGTCAGGAAATGATCATCTCCAAAAACAGAGTCTAACATTGTTTTCCCCCTCCCCCCAAAAAAATCAGTAGCATTACCATTGTTGAATTCTCTTCTTATCAACAACCTGGAAGATACCATCAATCAAAAACTGAACTGGATCAACTATATATGTATTATGGGTCAGTGGCTAGAAATTCCGCAGTGAATAACTTGCCACTTGCCACCTGTCACCCAAATGCTGCCAATCACCTACAAAGCACGGACACGAGTGTGATCAAAATACTTCTCATTTGCCTGTCGAGTTCTGTTCCAACTTCATTCAAGAAGCTTCATGCAATCCAAAGCGAAGCAGCCCACTCAACTGGCACCCCGTACTCCAGAAGCACTGCAGTAATTCATCAAGGCTCCACCTTCCACACCACCTAGAAGGATAAGGGCAGCAGATGCATGAGAACACTACCACCTGTAAGTTTCCCTCCAAGTCTCTCTCTGCCATGCCTTGGAACCAGTGTGCCCCTATGCCCCAAATACTGCAACTGTTCAAGAAGGCACCTTGCCCAGGCCACTTAGGATTGGACAATAAATACTGGCCTACCCAGCTATGTCCATATTGCATGAAGGAATGAAGATAATAAAGTACAGCAGTTTACTGTGTGGAATCAGTTTAAATTCAACGTACTGAGAAGGACTTTTACTTCATCAGTGAGCTTGAGCCAGTGACCTTGGTAGCCAAATCAGAACAGTTTTTAAGCAACGCACTTGAAATGTTTGTTTTGAGGCTGTGACATTTTCTCTGTCAGATTTTCTGACTTGGAGGACAAGTATCTTTATGTATAAATCATGATTTCTCAGGTCGCTCATCTTTGCTGCATTTGTTCCATTTTAAATCATAATGAGGGAAATGGCTGGAATTGATATACATGTGATGACAAGTGCCCCTTATCCTTTTAGGTGGTTCAACACCTGTTTGAAAAACTGGAGAGATTGTGTTCATTATTGTTTCAGCATTACTTTTATTGTACTGTTGTACCCTGGGGAGTGTCATCAAACAGAGACGAGGGGTTCAGGTATATAGTTCTTTGAAATTGGTGTCATGGGTAGACAGGGTAATGAAGGCGTTTGGTGCACTTGTCTTCATTGAGTACAGGAGTTGGGATGTCATGTTCCAGCTGTATAGGACGTTAGTGAGGCCACTTTTGAAATACTGAATACAGTTCTGGTCGCTCTGTTATAGGAAAGGGTGCAGAAGAAAAGATTTAGAAGGACGTTATTGGGACTGGAATGTTTAAGTTATAAGGAGAGGCTTGATAGGCTGGGACTTTTTTTGCTGGAGTGTAGGAGGTTGAGGAGTGAATCATGAGGGGCATAGATAAAGTGAATATCAAAGGTCTTTTTCCCTAGGGTAGGGTATTTCAAAACTAGAGGGCATATTTTTAAGGTAAGTGGGGGGGAAATTTTAAAAGGAACCGGACGGCAACTTTTCCTCACAGTTCATTCTATATATGCACCATCCTCTGTGTGAAAGTAGTAGGTGCAGGTACAGTTACAACATTTAAAAGACATTTGTATGGGTATGTGAATAGGAAACTTTGGAGGGATATGGGCCAAACTCAGGCAATTGGGACAAGTTTAAGTTTGGGAAACCTGTTTGGTGTGGATGAGTTGGACGAAAGGGTCTGTTTCCATGTTGTGTATGACTATATAACCTGTTTTGTTGAGGTAACAGATTTAATGATGAGACTTAGGTCGGTTTTTTTTTTTCCTTCCTTCTTCACCAAAAACTGTTCAAGTTGCAGTATGATTCGTTCTGATGGTACACTCTGCTATCCATATGGCAAGATTTGGTGGGGAATGTAAACTAACTTTCATGGGTTGGGAGGTGTTAGAGGGGAGTGGAAATAGTAAATTGACAGCTTAAAAGAGAATGCAGCCAGAAATAGTGGCTGTGTAGAAAATAAATGATCTGAGATCAGGAAGATGCAAGCAATTATTAAGTGGCAAATGATTACATTCATAAGCGAAAGGATAGAATAATTAGAAATCAAGTAACTGAAATCAGGAACTGTACCTTGAGCTTCTTTTATGCGAGGCCAAGGTCAACGTAAAGAACGGCAGATAATTGAGATGGCAAACAACCAAATGTTAAGAATAGTGTTTTGTTTTTATACTTGCCCTTTTATACTTGAATGACAATGTGCAAGGGAAGGGGGTACAGCTGTGGAGAATGGATCATGATTCACAAGGACAATGTTCACTTCAAACTGCTTAAAGGAAGAGGAAGATAATTTGCTAGATGGAATCACTTTGGAGTTTTCAGAAAAACATTTTCATTATGATGGGATAGAAGGGAAACAATATTGTGCTTTTTCCAAGGGCTGGGAAAATGTGGCAAATAGGGCTCTTGATCGTATTGAGTTATGGATTTATTATCACGTGTACCAAGATACAGTGAAAAGTGTTGTTTAGCATTCTATACAGGCATATCGTACCATACAAGTGCATTAGGGTAGCAGAGTAGAATGCAGAGTACAGTGTTACAGCCACAGAAAAAATGCAGTATGGAATTAACATTTGAGATGTCCGTTCAAAATTCCGATAACAGTGGGGAAAGAAGCAGTTCTTGCATCTACTCGTAAGTATTTTGGAACTTTTATATCTTCAGCCCGATGGAACAAAGTATTACCAGGGTGGGAAGGGGTCTTTGATTATGTTGGTTGCATTGCTGAGATAGAGGGAAGTGTAGACTGAGTCAATGGATGAAAGGCTGGCGTGTATGCTGGACTGGGCTATATTCATGACTCCCTGTAGTTTCTTGCAGTTTTGGGAAAAGCAGTTGCCATACTACGCTGTGAATCATCCGGATAGGATGCTTTCTATGGTGCATCTATTAATAAAGTTGGTAAGAGTCCTTGTGGCCATGCTAAATTTCCTTAGCGTCCTGAGGAAGTAGAGATGTTGTGTGCTTTCTTGACCATCGCATCGACATGGGTGGACGGTATGGAGTGATAGGCATCTTTGGTTGTATAGCATTGGTCAAGGATGTTCGGGCCAAGAGATGTGTTGGTGGTATTTTTATAGCACGTTCTTAAGACTGGCCTGGTTGGAGTCACCAACTACAATGACAAGGCCTCGGGGTATTCTGTCCAAAAATTTTGTAGCATTGTGTACTTGAAGTGCACTGTTCACTTCCGCATGGGGTGGGATGTAGACAGCTCTCAGGATAGCGGAAGTGAACTTGACAACAGGTAGTAGGGACAGCTCTTTAAGATATTCTAGGTCCAGGGTGCAGTAACCTGCCAGGGTTGCCACATCTGAGCACCAGGTGAACTAAGAACTCCCCCAGCCAAATGACACAGCCAATTATAGCAGGAGTAAGCCATGTTTCTATAAAACTAAGCACATAGCAGTCTCTTAATTGCCTTTGGAAGATGAGGCTATCTTTAAGTTCATCCATTTTGTTCTCAGTGGCTTGGATGTTTGCCAGGAAACTCTGATGTTTCAATCTCACCTGAAGTCCAGCATGTCTCCTGTGTTACCTGAGTAGTTAGATGGCTGCTCCTATTCGATCTTGGGTGTCGGTGAGGAAACTCTGGAAGGCAAGTGTGTTATCCCGATGGGCTCCTGGGCACCAGTTGTGGCCTTGAGTGTTGCAGGGGGGATCTTGTGGCCAGTTCACTCGGGCCTCCTCGATGTCACATCACTGTGTTTCTTGTTCCCGCGCTGGTCGAGCCTTGGTTTGGTCTTGGTTTTCATGAGATTGGGAAGTCAGGCCTGTGAGAGGTCGGAAGGCTTCTTGGCTTGTGGTTCCAGTGTCGGCGAGGTATGTAGGTTCTTCCAATGGGTTCCCGGGCACTAGTTTCGTTCACAAGCGCTTCGAGGGTGGGGGGGTGGTTTCTTGCAGCCGGTCTGGCTGAATCACTGTGGGGTTTGGTCATGCTCGCATGCTGGTTGGGCCTCGGTTCCAGGTTTCCAGTTCCCCTGAGCTTGTGATTCCAACATCAGTAATTTGAGCCTCGTTGGTTATAGAATGTTTAAACCTGTAAGTAGATTTAAGCGAACATTGTTATTAATTCTGATATACATAGAATTGAGGATTAGAAGAGCAGAATGATTATAAGATATGTAAGAATGAGATCTGCTGTAGACAGTTCGCAAAACATCACCATCTTTGGGTCTTTGAATGTTTGTTTTTACCATCTTACCTGCCAATATATGCGGAAAGGAGTAGATAAGAATTCTCTTCCTTCTCTCTCATCGGAGACAGTTCAGAGAAGGTTCGTTGGAACGTTCCCCGGTATGGAGAGATTGTCTAATGATCAAAGGCAGAACAGGTTGGGACACTACTCACTGGAGTTTTCTTATGAGAGGTGATTATAATTGAAAATTATAGGAAAATAAGGGGCTTGACAGAGTAAATACTAAAAAGATGTTTCATCTCATGGGAGAGCCTAGGACCAGAGAGCACAGTCTCAGAATGAAGGGATACTAATTTAAGACTGCGATTAACATAAGAACGTAAGAACTAGGAGCAGGAGTAGGCCATCTGGCCCCTCGAGCCTGCCCCGCCATTTAATAAGATCATGGCTGATCTTTTTGAGACTCAGCTCCACTCACCCGCCTACTCACCATAACCCTTAATTCCTTTACTGTTCAAAAATTTATCTAGCCTTGCCTTAAAAACATCCAGTGAGGTAGCTTCAACTGCTTCACTGGGCAGAGAATTCCACAGATTCAAAACCCTTTGGGTAAAGAAGTTCCTCCTGACCTCAGTCCTACATCTGCTTCCTTTTATTTTGAGGCTATGCCCCCTAGTCCTAGTTTCACCTGCTAGCGGAAACAACCTCCCTGCCTCCACCTTATCTATTCCCTTCATAATCTTATATGTTTCTATAAGATCTCCCCTCATTCTTCTGAATTCCAGTGAGTATAATCCCAGTCTACTCAGTCTCTCCTCATAATCCAACCCTCTCAACTCTGGAATCAACCGAGTGAATCTACTCTGCACCCCCTCCAGTGCTAGTATATCCCTTCTCAAGTAAGGAGACCAAAACTGCGCACAGTACTCCAGGTGTGGCCTCACCAGGACCCTATACAGCTGCAGCATAGCCTCCCTGTTTTTAAACTCCATCCCTCTAGCAATGGCAGACAAAATTCCATTTGCCTTTTTAATTTCCTGCTGCACCTGCAATCCTACTTTTAGTGATTCATGCACAAGGACACCCACGTCCCTCTGCACAGCAGCGTGCTGCAATTTTTTACCATTTAAAACATAGTCCGTTTTGCTGTTATTCCTACCAAAATGGATGACCTCACACTTACCAACATTGTACTCCATCTGCCAAACCTTTGCCCACTCACTTAGACTATCTGTATCCCTGTGCAGACTTTCAGTGTCTTCTGCACACTTTGCTCTACCACTCACCTTAGTGTCATCTGCAAATTTTGACAC